AACTGTACAGTTAAGTGAAGAGTGTAAGTTAAAAACAAAAATGGATTCACAATTTTGTGTAGATCTGTGATGGTGAAGTGTGTCAGTCATTATTTAAAGAAATATCTTACCAAATTTAAACATCAAAAAGAAACTCTTCACATGCATGATAATTAAAAGTTATTTAAATTAACCACAATATAAAAAACTAATAATAAATAAATGATTGATAATGTTTGTTTTTCCTGAAGTAAAATGCTGATTTTGAAAACTAATAAGCCTTTTACCACCACACTCAAAATAGACTATAAAGCAAGTTTTTAGCATAACATAGGAAAAAATAAAATTTTTATTTTTAGATCAAAAGCTATACATTTTTAGCATACTTCTTATCTCTTATACATTTACTAACAAAAACTGACAAAGAAAAACTGCTTGTTTTGTGAGGTTTATGCAAGCTTTACATGTAAAATTGACAATATTACATTCTTATGTGACTTCTAGTTAGTTCTGTATGGAATGTACTTACACCAATACAGTGTCATAAGAAAAAAGTTCCCAGAAACCTTAATTTGATTAATAATTTAAGAAATACTTTTCAAGATTACTAAGTACTCAACACTTAGAAAATTTAATAAATGGCATGCAATTTTATATTAAAATTCCAACTTTTGATGTACCAGCTGTATCACAGTAACTGCGGGACATGTATCAGCTGTATCACAGTAACTGCAGGACATGTGCCAGGTGTCTTGTGATATCAATTAAAATGTTGTTTTTTAAAGAACCTATTCTACATAAGAAAACATATTTGTGTTATAACGTAAATTTTGTATGAGTTATGTGAATGAATCTAAGTGTTCAAGAAAATATTTCAGCTGACAAATAAGAGAAAAAAGAAGGAAAACATGCCACAAAAACACAAATATACGAATGATCCAAAAATTTTTCTTAGTCAATTGATAATTCTTCAATAATACAAGATAAATTTAATCAGCTGGCCCACTTAAACACCATATCCCAAAATGTAAAAATAACTATGTACTATAGTGTATCATGAAAAAAACAAACACCATATCCCAAAATGTAAAAATAACTATGTACTATAGTGTATCATGAAAAAAACAAACACCATATCCCAAAATGTAAAAATAACTATGTACTATAGTGTATCATGAAAAAAACAAACACCATATCCCAAAATGTAAAAATAACTATATACTATAGTTTATCATCGAAAAAAAGAAACACCATATCCCAAAATGTAAAAATAACTATGTACTATAGTGTATCATGAAAAGAAACAAACATCATACTCCTTTTAGAAGTTTTTGAAGCAGATGCAGTTGCATGCATTTTTGTTAACTGCTCTCGATGACAACGAAGAACCCAGGGGTTGTGAACACTTTTAGTTCTTTTATCAGGTTCATCACCTTCTTCGAATAATGTTAAGTCTTTTTCTTCTCGTTCACTTTCAATCTCAATAGTGCCAGACTGACAAAGCCGTATTCTGGAAGGTTCACTAAAAGTTGATAAAACTGAAAATATTTTACAACCACTACAAGACAAATATTCAGAATCTAATCTTGTTCTTTAAAATGTGGAAATATAAAACAAAAATACTTAAAAAGAACATCATAACAAATACTTAATGAACTCATACACATACCCCTAGTTACATACAGCAAATATGAAAAGATATACTACACCAGCTAATTATGCCTTATGTAGAAAGAATGCAATAATACTGAACAAATAAAACATATCTATGGATAGTACAGAAATGTCAATAACCAAGATATCTGCAAACACTTAAATTAATGATGTTTAAGACAGACCATCAAGCATTTTAGATTGTATATATCATATCAAAAACCTATAGTGAACAAACAGTTGAACTTTTCCTTTTAGATAAGCATTACTTAACTTAAAAATCTAATTAATTTAAATGAGATACTACTTATCATTACTGCAAGCAAACAGCTGAATTGACATATTTTTTGACAATGTCACTTGCTTGGATTGGTAAATTTAACAGAAAAAAAGCATATAAATGAGTTCTAAGACAGAACTAATTATTTTATTTAGATGTTATTTTCATTACAAAAAATGTGTAAATTTGAAAGCTCTGGAAATTTTCTTTTACGACAAGAGGTTTAGAGGGTATGGTAGGCAATGGCAAAACATTCAGGTATCTCAAATCCTCATTTACTGAATATTGCTGTTACTTTTTTTGTGTTCAAAAAATGAACATAAACAAAAGAGCTTATAATTATTTGAAAATAAAGTTTTTTTATTAGATATAATTTTAATTCAACCAAGAATAGTTTTTGCTAAAATACTGTTAGCTAGCCTGACATGATGCCAATGTAAATGGTAAGGTTGTAGTTCACAGACAAATCTGTCAGCTTCTGCATTTTTTTTTTATAATTTATAGAAAGAAGTGGTGCACACTACAATTTGCCAAATAAAGTATCATCATAAATATGTTAATAAATATCAATCAAGTTGAAATTGATTAAATGTATAATATTGAACTTTCTGATCAACAGCAAAATATAATTCTAAAATGCAACAATGTATTCTTAACATCTTTTAAATGTGTCCCAAAAAACAAAAGTTTTGAAATTTCACAACATAAAAAATTTAAAGAAAAACTTAATTCAACTATAGGAATTCTTTAAAGCCAACTATTTAGTAAGTTTGTCCTAAGTTTCATGCTAGTTGGTTAACTATTTCCGCTGTGAGGAGAAACCTTATGTCAAGAAACAGTTAAAAATATAATGCTAATCTATTTGAATAATTTTGTCAGATGATCATGAGAAGATAATATTAAAACACTATTTACAAATTCAAAAAAATGTCTAAATTTTCCTTTCATGGATATCTGAACTGCATGCCACATATATATATATATATATGTGTGTGTGTGTGTGTGTGTGTTTATATATATTTTTTTTCTTATGGCCATCATAATACTTGAAAAAAAATGTAGGGTCAAAAAATGAGATAAATCAAAAAAGAAACCCAATAACAGAAGTATTAGTTTCTCCAGGAGGTAATTTGATATAATTGTGATTAATATTAGTTAAATAATCTTTA